AAAGTTCTTCGATAATACCTGTATATACACATCTTTCTTTCAATGGTTTCCCCTTCTTTGATGTTCAGGTTTTATATCATATCAATAGCTTAGTTGTGGCGCTTTGTTTAAAAACATACACTTCTACTTATCCATCTATTTCTAGTGTTGGAAGGTTAAGACATGCCCAAGCACCTACCTTCACTTCGCAGTTAAGATTGTGCTGTTCTGTCTCTGTCTTCTATCATAACAGGTCATTTGGTTGGTACTTTGTGTCTTTGTCTTCTATCACGACAGATCAATTTGGTAGTTGGTGTACGTGTCTTCTATCATGACAGGTCATTCTGGTAGTTTGTGATTGTGTCTTCTTAAGTGACAGGTCATTCTGGTAATTTGTGTCTGTCTTCTATCATGACGGGTCATTCTCTTAATTTGTGTCTGTGTCTTTTTTAAATGACAGGTCATTCTGGTAATTTATGCCTGTGTCTTCTTAAATGACAGGTCATTCTGGTAATTTATGTCTGTGTGTTCTTAAATGACAGGTCATTCTGGTAATGTGTGTGTGTGTCTTCTTAAATGACAGTTCATTCTGGTAATTTGTGTCTGTGTCTTCTATCATCACGGCATTCTGATAGCTTGTGTCTGTGTCTTCTATCATGACAGGTCATTTGGTTGATAGTTTGTGTCTTTTCTCTATCAAGACGGAGTCTTTGTTCATCATGTATTGGAAGGGGATTAGGGTGGATGGCCGAATGGTTGGCGTGTGCATCATACGGACTGTCATTGAGTCAACTGGCGTAGTTTCGATTCCCTGGTTGTACGTGACAAGGAGTAGGATCGCCTGTCCATCCTCGTGGGTTTTCTCCGGGTCCTCCGGTTTCTTCCCACTGCTAAAGACTCCTACGCGCAAGCGAATTATTGAAATAAAATTAAACCATTTGTTAGTCCCGAAATGACCTTGTTTGTGTCTACTATCAGGTCGCTTGGGGACATCATATCTGTACGGAAAATTCTTGGTTCAGAAATTTGGGCTGACGGTTAAGGTCTACCTATGGCAACTCACAAGTCAAACTTGGGAATGTCCCGTCTTCCCCATTGGATTTGCATACCATGCGTCGTTGTTTAATGTTCTTGACTCGAACTGAAGACGGTAAGAAACATCTTTGAGAGTTTCTGCTCTACCAATTAAAATTACATACTGCAGACTATTCTGTGTTGGAAATTAGGATGTCGTAATTTGCAAGCTGTATTACCTTTCCATTGTACAAGGTTGGGATATTGTTGTTTGTGCACGTGTACGCTTAAAGTGATTAATTGTTACACGTGTGTACTTGAATGCAGCCTGATGTATTTGTAATTGTAACCATATGAAGCATTTGTCTTAAGTTTTGATCCTGAGCAGGAATGGCAGATGCTCAGTTTCGATATTCCTGCAGAAATGTAGTTGTCTGCCACATGGGGGTATATTAGCATTCCAACTCAGTTTCATTTATCTACAAAATACTTTATCTGCAAGCCGAATATTAGTACGTTAAGCTTGTGGGTGCATTTCATTTAAGTTCACCAGTTTCATAATGTTTGGTCCAATCAGTCAGTTATAGTGCATTTCACTCAAGTCTTTTCAAATTCATCATTTCACCTAATTTCATCATTTCACCTAATTTCATCATTTCACTCAAATTCATCAGTTTGATGAAAATACTATCGTCACAGATCTGTTTGGAATGTGTGCTCGGTCGGTAGTCAGTATTTGTATTATTTTATTTTTATTTATTTATTTTTTTTTGGGAGGGGGGGGGGGTGCTGCTGATTATTTATGAATCGTGATACATAACAAAGTGTTAGAATTGGTACATTTAGTGGCTTTTAAGGAACTACTTTTTGTGTGTGTATAACACGCCACCTACACACCACTCTAAATTTACATAGTGATTTTGACGCACTGGGAAATATACACTTAACGTTTTCAAGAAAATAAAATCACTAAATATTTCATTGTGATGATTTATTGACGAATTCGTCGCTGGCATCGTCGTCAAGTTTACGCGTTGTTGTTGAATTTGACCGAGTTTGTATTTTGACCGATTGTCCTTATTTATTGTCGAATACTTTATAATGTCCTTTTTCCTTTCTTTCCTTCGTTTTGTTTCGTTAAAACAGAGCTCCGGATTCACTATAATTTAATTACTATTATTAATCTTAGTATATTTCGTACCAAAATTGCAATGTCTTTGAAAATATTATCTTAATTACATTTATTTAGAAAAGGTCGTGTATTTGATTTATAATTGCTACAACTTGCTTCTCTTACTGATATGAAATTAAATGGGGCTTAACGCCCTTCTGTTGGGCTCCTCCGACTGCTTCTCTTAATAGTCATATAAAAAGTTCTATATTATATTTAATGCAATTTGAACATTTGAATTTTACAGGCATTTTTTGTCGTTTTGCTTTGATTGAGATTGCATAAATTGTTCATAATGATATGTTGTAAATTCGATTGAGTAGGCTATAGTGGATCACGAATGTAACTTTTAAAATTTTGATATTCTTAAGGGAATTAATAAAATGCTGCTAAATATAACAACAAGGAATTGATTCTTGTGTAGTATCTAAAATTAAAAAAATAACCTACTAAAGTTGGTATAATTTTCATATATACAAAATTATATGTATATCTTTCGCTATTCAAATTATGTTTTTGTATATTAATAACTGTTTGTATTGTTTAGAAGGTAATTATCGTATTCAAAATTATATGTAGAGCGTACGCTATTAAAGTTATATTTTTGTATATATTAATAAATGTATGTATATTGTTTAGTTAAAAATAGGTAAGAATAGATAACAATCGTTATACACGTTAAGATAAAGTGTTTGATCTATTTACGTGTATATATATATACATAGTATCTGTTTTGTAGGATGATATTAATATTATTATAATCGTATACGGTATATGAATAAACACTTGAGGCTAGGACTCCCACTTTCTACATACTTGATCCTGTCACATAAAGCTCTCAAGAATACTTCAATAGAATAATAAATCTTCACCTTGAGTCAATAACTCCTCAATAGGCGTTTGATTATTCTTCTGCCACACGCGCCACACGACTCGGTTAAAGAAAGTGCCGCCCTTTAATCGTTTGAATGAATTAAAAAGTAATAATTTAACTAATTAGATGAAGAAAATCGAGAACTGAGTAACTTAAATTTCTCAACAATGGATCAAAAGCTAGATAAATTTGGCACATATTTTTAAAATTTACTTCTTTGTCGTTATATTATCCGTATGATGAGTTTGTCAAATGTAGAAGTTGAGAATTTATTGACTGATAATGAATCAAATATAATTCTTGAATTTTTAAAACCAAAAACTCAACTTTTTATTCGGCAACACTCAACGAAATGTAAGGAAGAATGCAGACCCACCAATGGTTAATTTAAAACACTAATAAGAAAATATGAAAATTGAAGTTCAGCCATCTACTATCAACCAAGTAGAGGCGAATTGATAGATACAAATACTATTTGTCAGGAAAGGTTTTTCCAAAAGAATTATCTCTGTCATAATATTCAAATGAATGTATCAATAGGTGCAATCATTCAAAATTGCTTTGGAATAATTTCGGTGTTGTCATTCTCAAAATAAAATCGAAACGTTTCATATCCTTTGCATTTAGATTTGTTTGATTTAATGGACTTTTTCTACCTGTTTTGAAAACAGTATATGAGACTAATAAAATAGAAAAACAGAAAATGATATAAGTAACAATGAGCTCCTGTGGTTAATAACATTAGACAGTCCATGTCAAGGGTCGAATGTATATGTGTGTGTTCTGGAAGTCTTATTGAAGTCATGCTGCTAGCACGTGTAATTCATTACGACCTACTCATTTTTAATAACCTGTTTATTTACTAAGTAAAATTGATCAAAATATCCACACATACCGTACATCGATATCATAATAAGACCCCTTTTCATTTATAAGCTTAAGTATTTTGTTTAATTTTCTGAAGATTTTGAAGCTTATAGATACACTTCCAACACTTAGATGGGAAAAATGTTTTATTTTAGGGTATTCGTGTTATTTGATCCAGGGTAGTTTGCTATTTTGCCTCTCAGTTTGCTCTGCCTTGTTTCTTCCATTTTAACTATATTGATATCTGCGTTGAATAATAAGTTTCTATATATATATTTTTTTATATATCCAATATATTTATTTAATTATTTATTATTATAATAATGCCAAATCTCATTTTATTGAATTAGGTCGAATACGCATGAAGTATTGTGTTAAATATTGATATCGTTTTTCTGCTTATCAATGTTAAAAATTTAAGCTTATCAAAGATTGAAGATCGTGAAATGAAATGATTAAATTGTCCAACTTCTATTTGTAATGACGCGTTAAAAATAATATATATAGAATGTGCCCTCTTGTTTCTATAAGGATCCTACATTCTTGATTTTTACCTGAGAAGATTATTCAGCTATAAATGCTGTAGATATTTTTTTTATCCTTGAGATATAAGTGAAAGATTTATGTTTTATTCATCCGATAAAACTACTATATCATATTTGTTGAAGCTGCCTTGGGCTTGGACATGTCACTGTTTGCACATATATCTCGAATGATGATATACTTAATTTATTTACTAATAAATGTCTATGAATAATTTGTATCTGTGACGGATTTTTGAATCTGATTTTAGTTATGAATAAAATCCTTCAAGAATATATATATTACCGGTACTCAGAATTTCTTCAAGCCAACCCAAACCTTCTGTTGTCTTCAAAGATTTAATAGATTTGGGAATATGTTTTCTTTATTTACAAATTCCCCAGTGTCCCGCGTCGATGATGGTTCTGTTGCGAAACTACGAGATAAGGCGCTTATCGCCGCACCCTCGTCATTCAAACATCACACCCATTATCCTGCCCTTTTTAATTGCATAATTCTTTTAATATACTAAATAAATTGAAGAGAAATGCGTGAATATTCGTTTCAAAAACCTACTTTATTTTTTCACGTATAGCTCATAAATACATAACACATGTTGACATAATATTAATAATAATATATAAATATATACATAATAATCATAAAAATAGTTCTATTTACACACTTTGGCATTAATATTATTAAATTGTAGACTTCATGTCTATCTTTTATGACTTAGCATTTTTACACAAGAAACATTTTAATTCTTCAAATGAAGAAGCGACGAATAGTCTGTGCTGAAGTAATGTCTAATGTACACAAAATAATTTTTCAGTTATTATGGATTTAAGACTATACACTTTTCAAATCGTTTCATGATTTAGACATTTAAATCATAAAAAAATGGGTATTTTTTTATATTTATTTCAACTTACCCTAGTAGGTAAAGAAATGAATTAATCCAAATATGAAGCACATTTATCATATAATAAACTGGAATATTTGAATAGTTAAAACTTGAACAACACCGTAGATAATTGATAACAAACTAAAAGTTTGTCACATTATCTCAACAACTAGATTTACACCACAATTTGAGAGGGAAGAAAACCTCTTGAGCATTTTATAATCTCTCCAAACTTCTAGGGTTTGTTAAAAGTTCTCGCAAAATTCTCCAAGCTTGTTTCGCGGCATTGTCCATTCCCGAAGTAGATTTTCCCTTGAACAAATCCACGCTAGGTAAGAAGTAATGCGGGCATTTTCTATTTTGTAAACACGATATTAATTGTAAGAGAATCCCGTTTAGTCTGTCACCCAAACACGTATCATCCCATTCGGCTTCCCGGGGATGTTTTTCACATTCGTAAAGAAGTAGGGTTTTCATGTGGTAATTCAAGATTGGCTGCCCAGGAACGTCAAAATGTTTGTCTTTCAATGCTTTCAAAATACTCAAACATTTTCTTCGACATCCGCCATATAATAAACGATCTTCTGCGTATCTAAATGACATCACCCATGCGTCTCCCTCGGCCGCCGACTGTTTATCCTTCATATAGATGCTCTCTTTAGATAATAGGTCGAACCCCTCGGTCTTTACTTCGGCAACCAAGTTCGGGTTCGGCCAAGGAATCTGTGGGACAGGCCAATGTGCTGCACTCCGACACCATATACCCCCGCATCGGAATGCCGGTGTGATTTGAACAATGAATCTCTCCTTGATCCGTAGTCGGACCTCGGTTGTATCGGGTATCATTTTAACTACGTCCCTGTAACTACATTTGTCTACGGCTTGAGCTACCAGAGTTTGGAATCTGGAACGAATTTTTCTAGCCGATAGGTACCCTGATGCTGTAATAAATTCAACCCACAGAGACATGGAACGCTTTCTGCCGTCACTCAGTTTTAACACAGAACATCCTGGAATAGTTCCATCGTCAACGAAGTTAAATACACCCATTTGATTCAAATATAGAACCACTTCAAATTCTGTCGGCGCGATGACTTCAAGTCCTTCATATCGTTGGTTCACTTCTGTCAAGGAACTGATAAACCGGGGTTCCTGTACTTCCACTTCCTTAAGGACATCTTGGACTACCTTGCATACTTCTCGTATAGTTTTATTAATGTTGCTCTTCCTCGCTGCCACTCTCTCGTTGTAAAACTTATTCAACTGAAATAGGAGCTTGGACTGTGCGGCCATCATTTCGGGGGAACTGCCTTCCAAAAGCATTCGTGCCTATTTTGATTCCACAGTCTGTGTGTTGAAGACGTTTGTTTCAAGTTGATTCAAATTACACAGTATTTACCTACTGTCTTATGTATGAGTTCACATATAGGACAGTAGATGTGAAAGTCTTCTCGCCCCTGGTTGGTGACAAAACTGTTGACCAAACTTGCTAAAAGATCGCCAATATAGACGGAGATGAAAAGAGGAGTAATTCAATGATCAGACTGCAAACACCGTATCTTCATTACAATTGTTTTCCTCGTATTTAATAACTGTAACAACTCTCGAGAGTCTATCACGCTGCGTCATCTACGTTCCTAGCATGTCAATCACTGTTGGGGAGGCGGGGTTATTGTGCCGTAATGTCTAGTTATCAACCAACCAGAAAGCCGTTGCTATTGTATAGATAGATACATTTTCTTTCTCGTGTCTAAGAAATTTAGTGTAATTACCCTTAAAGTATATTTTGCTCCGCCTTTTAGAAATAGAAAATGTGTGCTTAATAATCATGCTGTGCCTGTGACCCCGTATTAATCAGCATAAGAAATACTAGTTGGAAAATACTTTCTTCTTTATGGGGGTTCGACAAGGACTCGCTACTAGTACTTGCATATTTAAATTTTTAGGTGTGCGTACTTGCCGTAGGTTTGCTACAGATTAGGACGAACTGCCGGAAGGATTAACAGGGATAATATTTATCCGAAGGCTAATTAAGCAAGGATTACTTTATTATTACAACTCGTGATTTCTCAAGGCGGTCGACCACAGTCGGCGCCGATGTAAACTTTTTCATAACGCTCTGTTGCGTGCAATTTATTTTTGTGGAGAGACGGTTCATTTTATTTTAGATAGGGCAAACGAATTATAAAAATAACCAAATGTTGGCGTAGACAAAGCAAAATCTGATTTAATATTTTATCTACTCTATAAGAATTACATGGAAGTTCTGGCTTTCTGAATATTTTTCTTTTAGGATTTATTCCTTTAAAAAATATTTGAATCGCTTTGATATGTATGCATTTTATATTATGTTGATCCCCTTTTCGACGTAGATGATAATATTTTAAAGAAACAGTCCGCGTAGTTTCTATCTGCCATCTTCATTATCCCGATTGGTGCAAATACGTAAGACGTTAAACCCCATTTCATTTCATGCTTTTGGCTGCCATATCTCGTTTTCTAAAGTAAAGCACATAAGTGTATCTTATATGTGACATAATTGAAAATTACATATACAATAGATGATACTCAACTTTTCATTTTAAAATTCATTTTAGTGCACTACGTTCTCTTTTCGATGGCAATTTTTACAACTACGGAAACAGTTATTTTTCTGAGTGGAATCAGTGTTTAAACACACTGTTAAGGAACATGCTCTGATCAAAACTTAAAGAGAAAATTACCCCATGGTTGCCATTAAATCACAGGAGGTTAATTACCACGAAATAAGATTTTGGCTACAGTTTTAACGAAAGCCATATCGTCTTGCGGGAGTATTTGCGACTGGCGTCTTAATGCTGTGAGTAGTAGAACGGGGCGGAATATACGTCGCAAGTAATGATTTTATATGTTAAATATTGTTAACATTTATTTTTTTTTCTTCTTAAAACACGTTTGTTTTATTTAACGCCTTCATATAGACAGTTTAAGATGTGTTGGTGGACATGGTTGTGTGCAATTCCTAAAGTTCTCTACAGAGCAGTTAATGTGTAAATAGAAGTTTTTTTCGAAGGTTTAGCTTTGCTAAATAGGAATAGTCTGCGATATTGGGTTGGTTCTTCATCATATTAGCCAGTTGGTAGGGAAGCATATACTAACAATAGTATGAAATTTGGTGTTATCAGTGCACCTGACAGGATTCCTCAAGACAAAGATTGTCCACGTCTGTCCATATCCTGCAGCACTTTCTGGGTCTGAGCTATCACAGATCTCTGTCCATTAAAAGAAGAGAATTGCACCAATGAGTTTTAATAGATGTCTACAAAAGCCCCTAAACGTTGTTTATCTACATCCGTACACTGTGGTCTCTGGTTTTGGTGTTGGTTTACAGACCTGGTATCTTATCACCACAACCCAACTGTCCAGTAAACGATCACTGATGAGCATTTAATAAGAGTTTTAGATATTATAGTTTGGTACGAGGGTAATCTGGGAGGGTAATTTAATCTAATGGAGATGCTCCAGCACCTGTTAGCCATATATTGATGATGTAAGTCTTGTTTTTGAATTGATTCAACAAGTTTCGAAACTGCCAGTTGTTGTTATTGATATAATTAAAAAAGAAAAAATGTATTCAGGTAGTTTCCACATTTGTTTTCGGTATTTGGTATATGGAAAAATGTAGTCCGGTTACAGTGCAGTATCAGTGGTAACACTAGATTGGGTGACACTTGAAAGGGGAAAAGGAAACGTCTTTGTCGTGTTCTGGTCTTTCAGTTACTATTTGTGTTGTCAGATGTATACGACGGAATGTTTCAATTTTAATATCCGTCATTTCCACTGTCGATACTGTATACCAATGGGATTAAAGCGCTATTTTAATACCAATGTAAATGTTCTAAGAGGCCATTATGAGGTATAGCAAGGTGTGAATTTGATATGCTCTTTACAGAAAATGGGTGTAAGATATCTAATCTTTGCACACATCAACAATATAAAGAGGGTTAAAATCATTGTAGAGGAACAAATGGTGTTATTTGATAGAAATAAACCTGATGTATGACCGTTGTTAGGAACCCCCGTTAGACGGTGCATTATGTTTTACATGAAGACCTCGAAGTTCGTTGTTTAATTACGTCAGAGTAAAGAGATCTACATAGAAAAAATATCAACCACGAATTTCAATTTGGTCGTCATTTGTTTATTTAGCTTCAGGTTTTTTTTGGTACTAAATGTCTTGTATAGAGCAAAATTAAAATTACATGCATGTGTCGCCCTAGGGATGAGTTATGTAATAATTTTATAACCTTGATTAGCATGAATAATTCATGTGCAAGGTATACGACCTTTTAATTCGTAAACCTTCTAAAATTTATCTATTATTATCCAATAATCATTTCTTTCAAACTGAATTGTACGATTTATTTTCTTTATTTTGTAGAACTATCATGTTTTGTAATATGGTTTATTTACTTAATGGCGTGCGAATTTAAGTAAATTCATTTATTTTTTATGCTTGAATATCTCAACTTCTCGCATTTACTTTTCCACTTTTACAAACAATATTATTTCAAGAAATTTGTAAACCCCAAATATTTACAAACAATAAAACTAGATAGTATTAAATTCCTTAACAGATTCAAATTTTACCCGTTCGTTTACATACATTCTAGAATTTATTTAGGGCCTAAGTGCGACTATTTTGGTATCAGATTGATGTTCAGCAGACAGAAAGTCCATAAAACTTAAAAAATTGTGAAACTAAATCATAAGTCAAGACCCATCGACATGCTTCATTTACTAAAAACACATAAACACAACTCTCATTTTACATTAACAGAATGTACATGTATAGTGTGTCTTTTTGTCGTGTGTATAATAAATTATATTTTTGTTTTAAAATAAAGTAAATTTCAACTAAAAGTAATTATGGAAAGCTTGAGGATTTCCAACATACAATATTTGTACCAAAAATAGAAAATAAGACATGGCTGCTGTAAATAATTAAATTTTTATATAAATCAATTAATAAGCTCGTTTGATATTAAGCTGAAAGTCATAAAACGAATAATTATATTAATATATTTCTGATGATGATGCTGTATATTTCCTAGTCAGTTAAGTCCGACGAAATGTGACTTGGAAGTTGGCTGAATCTTATAGGATGCCTGGGGCTAAAAACGTTACGTGATAGGCCTCTTCAGCTTTTCTTTTATTCAATAGACGGTCTCTTGAGCTTCACGGGCTTTTTGTTATTCTGTCAATACCTAACAACCTTAATAGACTCTCCCTGGCGAGTTCCTTCAGAATGGAGTCATTATTAACCAAGTCAATTAGCAGGTGAATTACTTTTGTTTGCTTGATACCCACTGGGAAAGGGACGCCCCTATCAGTGTTTCTCGTTACAGCGAACGACCGTCTCATTGGCGTTGAGTTGCCCTTTTACAGGAGACGGCGTCGTGAATACGCTGAGAGATAATGCTGCCAACAAAAGCACATAGACATCTAGTTATTTCTCTTCTTTCACAAAATCCCTCACAATTCAAGTGTAATTGAAAGATGGTTCATCTATAATATTAAATATTTCATAATTCCCAGACTAATTCAGCGGGATATGGCTCTAGACAAACCAGAACTTATAATTTTCTGATGTGCATCACAATTTTCCCATATATTGAATTTATAACTAACGATAATGCATAGAAAACGAACAAGCAGAATTATCAAGAAAGGGACAACAAATGAACAGCTTTCAGTAGTTTATTAGCGACCTAATGATATAGGAAGCCTTCTACACCCAGTATGTGAGGTCGATTGCTACAAACTGTCAACTTCAATAACCAACTCAAATCTCAGACTAATGTTTCTCTTCTGGCTTTTCTAACTCCCTCAAGGCTCTGTGCGAGATAATTTTATTTCGTTTCGCCAGTAACCAAACATAGCGACCATATTGCTGCCCAGAAAACCCCATAGTGGCTATAATTACCGCGCCAGCACTTGGCAGGATAATGCATAATAGTGACATGCTTGCTTCCTAATTTGATATAGTTTCCATTATTCTAAGAGCTAATACGACCTTTTGTCTGAAAGAGATAATGGAAATTATATTCGGTGCCATCTACGAACTGGAATCAGTTCCTGTTCAGCATCTGCCAATCCCGCGAGACCAATGCCGTCTCACGTGATATTACACGTGATATTTTGATAGTTTGGTCGTCTGGCTTTGCACTAGGCGCATGCGACATGTCGACTCTTTGCTCACTTTGTGTCATCTATTATAATTCTGTTGCCAATTAATCATTTAGGCAAGGTTCGTAGTTGATATTTAATGGTTGTGTAGGTGTTAAACTGAGTTGAAGGTTCAATAGAAATGATGACTCAAAATTAAAGTCCACACCTTTCTCAACAAAAGAAGAGATGGGAGTCGTGAACATCTTCCAAGACAATTTCCACTAAGCAAGGGCTATACGAGGATAATTTTTCATTGTTAAAACAGGACTAAACTTTTAGCAGATGTTGATTTTGGACTGTCAAACTGGGAACCAATTTAGTCATCAAACTCGGAAAGTAGTTCATTCTGATAACCTTCTTCAGTTCACTAACAGCTAGGTTCCTAACATGCATTACAAAACC